AGACCAAGATGTGAAGTCTTACATCTGAGCAGCACTTTCTGGTTAGAAACAAAATCATCAATGAGAAATAATTGTTTAAATAACATTTCATATGGACTTAAGTCTAATGTCTGGGACGTGTAATCCCCTGGACTCTTTTGTAAAAATTTATTTTTATTTATTGAATAACCATATGATTAGAAGAAGAATTTCATTACAGCTTTAACATATTCAATAACAATTTCCGAGCAAGAGTACATCCCTTTCATAAGTGGCTGTAAATTTCTAGGTTCGCAGTTGAATTAATATAGTTATACAATATTGACCTCAATATAAAGTATAAGCCCTGTAAGACATAAAATTGTGAGTTTTTAACCTTTAAAAAAGATCTCCAGTTCATTTTAAAATATACTGTTTCCTACAGAAAGACTCATTTTTAATGCAACTAACACTTATATGTTTGCACATGTATCTCTAATTTCGATGTATCTGATTATTGCTAGTCACAGTTGGTTACACTTGGATCCTTGGTACCTGAGAATGGATATAAAGTTATCAGGTAGATTTCAATGGTAATGTTTAAAACCTTTACTAATCAACATTAAGTAAATTTTTATGCTTCCTCCTCAAAAATAACTCATTTTTAAAATTTGTCGATTTTTTTGTGTATATTTTGCAGAACATCCCCCAAAATCTTATTCATCTATGTACCCACTTCCCAAATGGCACCCTCCTATAGCCTGCCCGCCCCCACTGGAGCCCATATACTCTGTCATCCCTGGTGCTGTTCACTGTGTTGTCAGCACCCCAGCCTTTCCCCAGTGCTTGTCCATCCACTGAATCTAGTAAGCCTATCTAGAGTGCCTTGTTTTAGGAAGATCAGCTGTTCCTTATTTGGAGCAATCAGTTATCAATATTCCTTTACCCTGGACAACAACTCAAAGGAAGGTATCTCCTGTCTGGCATTGTTTCTTGTTATGTAGCCTTTAGCTATACATATGGACTCATAAAAAATTATATTGACCCCTTTAATCTTTGGTTATACTTTCCCTTTGGGTGTTTAAGACCCTACAGTTTGGCCCAGATAAACCAATTTATTTTTACTTTTAAGGTCGTTTGAGGATCTGTTCCTCAGGATTCACATGAGCTTGGGAGCAGCCCCTGGCTCCTTTCTTTTACCAGTTCCATCTATGTGAAGATAAGTCAAAGGTCCTACTTGACCATGGTTGGCTTCACTTGGAAGCATGGAGAAAATGTTTCCTCTGTGTTGACCCTCTTCTTTGTAGACTGGACACTGGTTCAAATCCATCTGGTGGGGTCTCCATGGCCTTCTCAATCAAGAGGACAGGTGACTCACCACAGTTACAGGACATTTTGAGAGATGCTCATAGTCCCCTGGAACTAGTTGACCTAGGAGGGGAAGGAACAACAACTGTCCTTTATGTCCCTCTGACCAAATTAATACAGGCCTCAAAGTATGTCT